TCTCTCTCTCTCTCTCTCTCTCTCTCTCTCTCTCTCTCTCTCTCTCTCTCTCTCTCTGTTATTCCTCCTTCCTTTTCAGTATTGGAAATTGAACCCAAGGCCTTGCACATGCTAAACAACTTATTATTCACTGAGTTATATCCCCGGCTCCCATTCCTTCAATAATTGCATGAAATCCTAACTCGATCACAAGGGAAGAACACAATCAATTCGTAAGTACCACTCCTAGCCCCATTTCTTAATCTCTCATATGCAGATTAAAATTCAACATGCATTTTGGGGGAGATGATCCATAATACATCTAAGTGTAAAGATATCTGTCTTGGCCTCAATCTAATGGAAAAAAGCACGTCTTCCTTCACCACAATGCACACTATGTGCTTTACAAGTTGGAGGCCTTCTCTGCTACTCTGAAGTTGTTGACTATATTTCATTTTGTCTTTTGACACAGGGCCTCGTTATGCAGATCAGCCTGGCCTGGAACTCAGAGATCCACCCATCTCTGCTTGCCAAGTGCTTGGATTAGAGGCATGTGCCACTAATCTTGGCCTGTTGACCATGTTTTGGGTTTTGAGAATTTCATACTCGAGTATTGTATTTAATCCTCCCTCCCCCAATTCCAGAGGGAAAATCATTTTTATTCAGGGACAAGCCTCCTGTTGACTGTTTTTTAATCACAATTGTGTCTTGGATATTGTGAAATGCCAAAATGATCAAACAATCTTTGTTCTTGATTACACTAACATGCTACATTATGTTAACTGAAATTTGAATGTTGTACATATCTGAGAGGAATCTTACTTGGAAGTGTTGCCTAATCTGCCAGGCATGCTAATATGCAAGTGAAATTCCAGCACTTGGAGGCAGGAGGACTGTGAGTTTGAGCCAGGATAAGGCTACACAGTGATTTCCAGACCAGACTTACATAGTGAAAACATGCTTCAAAACAAACATGTACACACAAAAAATAATGTCACGTGTTTTGCATGTTTTTGCTGGATTTGAATTCTTAATATTTTCTTGAGGAATTTTTCATATGTTGAACTGTGGGGGTCCTTGTGATGGCTCAGCCTGGCTTTACAGGTAGAATATTATTCTCATAGAGAATGTGCTGGAAAATATTCCCCCATCTTGAACATTCTGCAAGGTCTATGAAGGATCAGTGTTATTTCTTCTTTCTCTACTGTCATTTCCATCTTTTTTTATTATTAACATAATTTTTATTGATTGTTTGGGAATTACACATCATGTACACCAATTCCACTCATCTTCAAGTCCCTCCACATCTGCCCCTCATCCTTGTAGAGGCTCTCTCCCAAAGGAAAACTAAAAAAGAAATAAGAAAAATTAAAAAATAAATAAAATAATAAACATACAAATAAGAATAACAGTATCAAATTTAAAAACTAACAAGCAAACAAAACCAAAACATTACTCTTCTATCTTTCCCATCTCTCCATTGCCTCTTCATTCATCTTAGTGGTGCTGGAGCTGCTGTGTATCATGCAGTATACCCTTTTGTCCAAATAGCTTTACTTGCCAATGTTCATTGTGTAATGAATTGTTGGTCAGGTTCAAGGCCTCTGACTTTGGACACCATCAATACTGGACCCCCACTGACATTCCTCTCTGATATCCTGCTGTTGCCCCAGTCATGGAGATCCTGCAGCTATGGTTCCACAGGACCTGTCCCTTCACCCACTCCAGCAGATCATAGATGGGTTAGATGTTGGAGTATGCCAGCTCAAAGCCCTAGATGTGTGCATGGGTGACAGCTGAGTTGGTCAGTCTGGGTCACTAGGACCACTCCCCTCAGGTGAGGGGTGGAGCCAGCTCTCCCAGACCCATGGTGAGGGGCGGGACCACCTTTTCCAAGTGTGTATGTCGGGGACAACTCTCCTATTGGGGCTGGTGCCTGCTTCCCTGTACTGAGGTTATTGGGGTCTGTTATCCCAGGGCCACTGAGGGGTCAGCTCTCCTGTTGGGAGGGCAGGCTTTCCCCAACCAGTGAGGGGCAGGGCCAGCTCAGTGAGGCCTTCGTACTTCAACACATGGTTCGCACGGGCCCTTGTGGTAACACCGGCAATGGATATCAGCTGCAGGGAGACCATGGACTCATAAATGGCATTAGCAGCAGCTTGGGCTCGGATGTCACCATGGCCCCAGGTGGCAGCGCAGGCTTCTTACATCAGCATGGGCACAGCAGCAGTGTGGTTCCTGAATTCCAACATGGCCCCAGGTGGCAGTATAGACCCCCGGCGTCAGCATGGCCTTCAATAGTACCAGGAGCCATGGGATCTCAGCACAGACCCTGGCTGCAGTAGGGCCCACAGAGCCAGGCATGTCTATTGGCTGTTGCTCAGCCTGGATGCCACCATGTCCCCAGGTGGCAACACAGTCCACCCTGATCTGTATGGCCCCAGCTGCAGCATGACCCTTGGGCACCAACATGGCCTTAGGTGTTGGCCGATACCCCAGGCATGTGCACAGCCTTCAGTGGTAACAGGAGCCACGGACGTTGACACAGACCCTGGCTGCAGCAGGGTCACAGACCCAGACATGACCCCCGGCAGCAGCTTGAGCCCAGTCGACACCCTCGTCATGGATGGCAGTGCAGGCCACTCAGATTGGCATGACCCCAGCCTCAGCACGTCCCTCAGACCTGTGGCACCCATATGACCCTGAAAGGCAACAGGAGCCATGGATATCAACACCAACCCAGACATGGCCCTTGGCATTTTTCATTTTTTTTTAATTTCTTAATTTATATATTTATTTTTAAGCCAGCATACAAAGTGATGGGGTTCATTGTGGGTTTTTTCACACATTTATGTCATTATACCCTGTTCTTATTAATCCCCCTCTGCCACTATCCCTCATCTCCCTCACTTCCCCATCCTATCCCTAAATAGACACCACCTTCTGATTTCATGGCACATACAGTCCATTACTTCATCCTCCTTCCATTTGCCCTCACTGAAAGTCTCTCCTTCCTCTTGCATGGTCCCCCAACCACATTCATCACACCCTCCACACATAGATGTCTATGTATTTAAAAACAGAATCCACTTAGGAAAGAAAACTTGGCATTTATCTGAGTCTAACTTATTTTGTTTAACATTAGGATCTTGTAGCTAGAGTTTTCCTGCCTTGCCCACAGTGAGGACAAATCTCTGTCACCCGCCAGTCCCACAGCCGCTCAGACCCAACCAAGTAAACACAGAGACTTAAATTGCTTACAAACTGTATGGCCGTGGCAGGCTTCTTGCTAACTGTTCTTATAGCTTAAATTAATCCATTTCCATAAATCTATACCTTGCCATGTGGCTTGTAGCTTGTGGCTTACCGGTGTCTTCACATGCAGCTTGTCATAGTGGCAGCTGGCAGTTTCTCTGACTCAGCCTTCCACTTCCCAGAATTCTTCTCCTTGTCCTGCCTATACTTCCTCCTGCCTGGCCACTGGCCAATCAGTGTTTTATTTATTGACCAATCAGAGCAACAGATTTGACATACAGACCATCCCACAGCAGGATCTCCAGTTGCATCTTTATCCTTTAAATATCATGATTCCATTTGTGTGTGTCCAAATAAAATTCCACTGTGCATTATGTACCACATTTCTTTATCTGTTCATCTGCTGATGGACATCTAGGTTGCTTCCTTGTCTTGTCAATGGTTAATAGAGCATCAATGAACACGGATGTGCACATATCTCTGTGATATGCCAGTTTTAAGCGTTTCAGGTATATATCTAAGAGTCTCAGAGCTGGGTCATGTGGTCTACCTCCAGTTTTTTTGAGGAACCTCCACAATTGCCTTCACCTGCTTACATTTCCAGTAGCAGCATGTAAGGGCTCCTGTTTCCCTATAGCCTTGCTGTCATTTGTTTTCTTGATGACTAGGTTGAGGTAGACTCTCATAAAAGTTTTAATTTGTATTCCCAGGAGGCCGCTGAGGATGAGCATTTTTCAATGGTGTATTGCCATTTCTATTTCTTACTTTGAGAACTGTCTGTCCTGGTCATTGGCCCAATCACTAAATGGCTGATTTGAGGAAATCGGGTGTATAAATCCTGCAGTTCATCATATATTCAATACATTAATCTCATATCTGACATATAAATGACAAAGGATCTGTCCCCTCTCCTATTATGCAGTTTGTCTCTTCGCTGTGGTGAGCATTCCCATCGCTGTGCAGAAGCTATTCATATTTATGTACTAGCAATTGTCAATCTGTGATTATTTCTTGTGCTACTGAGTATCCTTCAGAGAGCACTTTTTTGTGTCTGTATCTTGAAGTGTTTATAGTTCAGTCTCTAGTAGTTTTGAGTTTCCTGACTTATATGAGAATCTTTGATTGATATTGAATTTATGCACAGGGTGAGAAACATAGATTGTTTCATTATTCGATCGGTCGATATACAGTTTTCTCAGAACCCTACATTTTTTGGTGAAAATTGGATGATGTATCTATGTGGATTTGTTTTTGGGTCTCCTGTCCTATTCCATCAATCTACATGTGTGGTTTTTGCATTGGTACCATGCACTTTGGCCACCATGGCTCTGTAGTACAGTCTGAGATCAGGTATTATGATCAGATATCAGCATTTCTCTATCTACTCAGGATTGCTTTTGCTAATCCAAGTCTGTTGTGTTTGCATATGAAGTTTAGGAATGCCTAAATGTACTACAGACATTTTTACAATATTGACTCAGCTGATACATGAACATGGAAGGGCTTTCCACCATTTATTGTCCCCTCTTTCTTTGGTGTCTTTAAGTTTCCATTGAAGAGAGATTTCACTACCTTTATTACATATATTTCTAGTCATTTTATTTTTCTTGAGGCTATTATAAATGGAATCCTATTCCTGATTTCTTTCTTGGTGGGTTTACTATGGCATATAGAAAGGCTTTTGGGTCTTTTATGCTGATGTCATATTTGGCTACTTTGATTAAAAGTGTTAGCTACACCTAAGAATCTCCTGATAGATTATTTAGGATCATGCCATCTGAAATTGGGATAATTTGATTTCATCCTTTCCTACTTGTAGCTCTTTTATTTCTTTTGCCTTATTGATCTAGTTAAGACTGTAAGCACAGTATTGCAAGAGCAGTGAGGGTGTAGAGTGGTCATCACGACCTCTTCTTTCCTGATGTGAGAGGAAATGCTTTCAACTTTCTCCCATGGATTACAAAGTTGGTCTCATATTATTTCCTGATGCTGTGCTCTAACAAAAACAACTGAAGGGGGAAAGGGTTTATTTGGCTTCCATTTCCAGGTTACAGTCTACCATTGCATGAAGGTCAAGGTGGCAGGTCCTTGAAGCTGCTAGTCACATGACAACCACAGTCAGATCAGAGAGCAATGAAGTAAAGCACACATGCATGCTAGTGCTCAGCTCTCTTCCTCCTATTAGACAATTCTAAATTCCCTGCCTAGAGAGTGGTGCCACCCACTGATGGAAGGAAGGGTGTATTTCTGGCTACAGTTTAAGGGAAGGAAAGTCATGTCAGCAGGAGTGGCACACAGCAGGTCACATGGTATGAGGATGCAGAGAGGCATGAATGTTTGCACTTAGCTTGCTTTCTCCTTTTCACACAGTCCAAGACCCCAGCCCTCGGACTGGTGTGAATCATAGTTAGTTAGAGGTGGATCTTACCACATCAATTAACTTAATCTAGAAAATTCTTTCTCCCGATGAGAAGTCATTGGGGGGGAGGGTTCTAGATCCTGTCAGGTTCAATATCAGTATTAATATTGACCATCACAGACGGATCTTCTTATTGAGAAACCTACCTGTATTAGCTTTGTTTCTGTTGTTGTGATAAAAGACTGTGACCAAAGGTGACTTATGAAAGAGAAGGTTTATATGGCTTATGGCTCCAGAGGGTCAAGAGTCCATGAAGGCAGAGTGGAGGCATGGCATCAAGTAACAGGCACGGAGGCAGGAACAGAAAGCCAGGGTTTACATCTTGAACCACAAGCACAGAGCAGAGAGTGTAACTGGAAATGGCGAGGGGTTTAAGCTCAAAGCCTCCCCCAGTGACATAATTACTCCAGCAAGGCTACAGCACCTAAAATTCCCTAAACAGTCCAACCAACTGGGAAACCAGTGTTCAGATGCCTGAAGTGGTGGGACCATCTCTCATTCAGACCACCACAGCACTGTTAAAGGCCCAACTTCCTGGGAGCACTCAACAAGGAGAAAACAAACACTGACATCAAGCCATACTAGGTAGAGAAGCAGACCTAAAAGCAATTACAGCTCACACATCCATGACCAGACAATGGAAAAGGAATGTGATCAGGAGTTTAAAAAGTAT